CAGCAGCAACAGCAGCAACAGCAGCAACAGCAGCAACAGCAGCAACAGCAGCAACAGCAGCAACAGCAGCAACAGCAGCAACAGCAGCAGCAACAGCAACAGCAACAACAACAACAGGAGCAAGTATCTCAGGGACAAAGCCACATATCACCGCAAATACAGCACATGTCAAATCAAATCCCTCAACAATCAATACCAATTCAACAAGTTCCCAATCAGATGGCTCAGCAAATGCAGATGCAAGTGAGTTTTCCCCAGCAGATGATGCCCCAGCAGTCACCTCAGATGACAAGCCCTTCTCCAACCCAGGGAATTACTCAGATGCAGCAACAGATGATGCCCCCTCAACAGAATCTTCAAGTACCTCATCAGAATCTAATCTCTCAACAGAAACCCCTCAGTCAGCATCAGATGCCTCAACAAGTGAATCAACAGCCTCAATTAAGTCCCCTACCTCAGTCACCACAAGTTAATCCGCAGGTGTTGAATCAGGGGCATCATGGGCAGCACATTCCGCAGCAACAGATGCCCCAACAACCACAGACTATGGTCTCTCAGTCCCAGGTGATGCCTCAGCAGTCTCAGATGATTCAACAGTCTCAGAATATACAACAACAACCCCAGATGGTTCAACAGCCTCAGCCGATGCCTCAGCAATCACCTCAGCCAATGCTCCAACAGAATCAAATTTCCCAGCAAATTTCACTACAGCAGCAACTGCCTAGTCCACAGACCCATCAGCAGCAACAACTAACTCCGGAACAACGACAGCAATTGATCCAACAACTGCCTAACCAACAGGGTCACCAGCAACAATTAACGCCTGAGCAACGCCAGCAATTGCTAGTTCTCCACCAGCAGCAAAAAATTCAACAAATATCACAACAACTCCAGCAATCAGCGCCCCAGCCCTCACAGCAGTTCATCATCAGAGACGGTCAACTCCAGCAACAGCCAACAAACCAAATAATAAATCAAAATCAATCGGGTTTTATAGTAAATCGAGAAGTCTGGCAGCAGCAGCAGTACCACTTGCAGCTCCAGCGACAACCGCAACAACAACAACTGGGACAACAGAGACCCGGGGGCCAGTGGACCCAACAGCCACCGCAACCTCCTCGTCAATTAATCCAACTGGACGCCCAAACCCATCAACAACTCCAGCAAATGGACCCTCAGCAGCGAGCTCAATTCATTCAGAAAATTCAAAAACAGAGAAATCTCTTCCTCCAAAGACAGATGCCGAATCGTACAGCCCAGGGGCCCCACGGAGGTGTGATCAGGGCATCAGCGGCCCCAGGTCAGCCCGGTCTACAGTGGGTCCAACAACGGCCTCAAATGATGGGTCCTGGAGTGACTTCAGTCGTTGGACAAAAGCCTATTCACCCGGGAGTTCAGCCGCCAGCATTGACGCCAATAAATTCGCCGAATCAAGTGATCGTCCCCTCGGGACAAGCCGTTCCAGTCCAGTCTTCTCAAAATCCAGGCCAACCCTTCCAACAGGGGCAATTAACCCCCCAGCAAATCGCTGAGCTGCATCTCCAAAAACAACACCACTTTGCGAGACTCCAACAATTTCAACATCCCCAGCAACAGCAGCAACAGCAACAACAACAGCAGCAACAACAACAAACACAACAGTCTCCTCAGCAATCTCAGCCCCAGGTGCAACCGCAATCTCAACCACCCCCTCAGCAATCTCCCCAACAACCACAACAAACGTCTCAGTCTGGAAGCCAACCACAACCTCAGCTTCAGCCCCAGTCTCAGCCTCAACCGCAGCAGTCGCCAGTTCAATCAGAACCACCATTAACCCCCCTCGCTGGAAATCCTCAGATGCCACCGGACCAACAGCTCGTGGTAAATCCCAAAACAAAAACAGCCCTTGCCAATATGTTAACTAATCGGCTACAGGGTGGAGCGGCTGAGGGAAGCGCTGCTGGTCAGCTAAGACTCATGACCGCTCAACATCGACCACCACCACCACCATCACAAGATCCAGCTCTTCTCGCTGCTTATCAGAGACGATCCCTCGGTAATATCACCAATGGCGCACCACCGGGTGGTATGAAAATGCAGTACGCACCAGCAATGGCCCAGCCCAAGGCACAATTCTACGGTCACAATCCGAATTTAAAACTACCACCTGATTTATTTCTACTCGGTTGCATATTTGTTATCGTTGAGTATGAGGCGCAGTACTCAACCGGTGAAATATCACATTGGAAACAAGTTATCGAGCGCCACGGGGGCGAGGTAGAGCCCCAGTATTGTGCACGAGCTACTCATGTCCTTGCAATTACGCAGAAGCATCCGATTGTGGTGCAGGCACTTAGAGAGGGGAAACGATGTGTCAGTGCACACTGGCTGTCGGATGTTGTGAACAAGCAGCAAGTTGTGCCTCCTTGGCATGCACTGCACTTTCCAATTCCCTACGGCTTGAACGAGCGACCGTGCTCCAAGCAGAATATTTCATTTTCCGGTTTCGAGGGTGAGGAGAGGGCTAAGATCAAGGGAATGCTGGATGTTCTCGGGATCAAGTACACAACGTACTTCTCACATCACAATACTTTGCTTATCTCTCGGAGACCGGATGGGCCAAAATACAAGAAAGCGAGGGAGTGGCAGATCAGCGTGGTTAATGCACAGTGGTTGACCGATTTGATTTGTGGTCAGGTTAGCGCTATTCATCAAATCGATGCACCCAAGTATCAGCAGTTCAATGCGAGCAATCCATTCAGGTTGGATTACTCACTCGTTCCTCATCTCATGGCAGCGTGGAAAATGCCCATTAATATTACTCAAGAGTCGTATGACAAGGTCAAACAAGTGGGACAAGGACCAAATGCCATGAGAAAACACAAAAAACCGCGGCTCGATGGACCTTTATTGAATAAGGATCCTCATCTGCTCGGGCTCGATGAACCTGTGATTATTTGTAATCCTGATCCGCCGACACCTGAGCGACAACCTAGGATTCTTTTTTCTGGAACCAATCCCGTTAAATATGCCAAGAGGATCAGGGAACTCGGGGGTGCACTCGCTGCAAGCTGGAGGGATGCCACTCATCTCGTTATGCCTGCACCCTTTCGAACTGTCAAATTACTCTGCTGTCTTTCCAGAGTAAAGTGCATTGTAAATATTCAGTGGTTGCTCGATTGCTTTGGAAAAAACACCTTCATCGACGAGAGCTCGTATATCCTGGGTGATGCCGAGTTCGAAAAGAGTTTTTATTGTAATATTGAGAAGGCGCTGGCCAGTCCCAATCGGGGGTCGGTACTTAAGGTAAATATTTAAGGATTTTCTTTTTATGGAATTGCGATATAAATTTTGAATGGCTAAGAGTGCATCAAAAGTTGAAGAAAGATCTTGGAATTTATAGCTGTTTATAATTCAGTAGTGAAGTGGTGAAATAGTTACGGTCGATTTAACTTTTTGTTGAGTTTTCGAAGAACATCTCTGAATCTCGGGTATTGCGAAATTTTCATATATATCTTACGTTTTATTTTTTTACAAAGAAGTTCTCGCAGAAAATTCTGATGTTTCTCTTTTGTGTGGAGAGCTGACAACTTTTATTTGATTATTTCTTCAGCTTTCAAGAGAGCTTACGAAATTAATAAACTAATGGGGAGGTAAAATGAAATTGAGGCTCTCAAGAACTTTACAGTTTGGCTCATATCACAGAATCTGAAGTGGAATATTATTACATTCAATTCATGACTATTTTTGATTTTAATTTTTCAACTGACGGAAGTTTCACATTTTATTAAAACGATTTATCACGTCACTGCTGCATTTATTGACCATCAAATGATTGAGTTAATTATTTATTGACACCAGAAATTACTTATAAAATCGAGGGAATTTGTTACTCGATGAAAGTCATATTTTTCAACATCTGTTACAATTATTTCTGACCGAAATCATTTTAACTGAAGCTTTTTATCAGCAATATTAATAAAAAAAAATAGTGTCAATGGAGGAAATGTATATGCGCCATTTGGAATTTATTTCTGGGTGGAATTCATTTTCAGGGATTGACATTTTACGTGACACCAAGTGTAGTGCCATCGCCCACAGCATTTTCGGAAATAATTGAGAGTGCAGGTGGTACTATGGAGAAATGCCGTCGTTCACTTGTGCAAATACAGGAAATGAATTCCGGTGGTAAATTGAACTACATCATCGTTACACAGGAGAACGATCTCCATTTGCTCGCTGATGTTCTACAAGCAAATATCAGTAAGTATTTTTCCATCTATTTTCATCTCTTCGAGTTTGTTCGTGAAATTGGATTGAATTCTCGTCATTAATGCAATTCTTTTATTGCAGACGTCTTCAGTGCAGAAGTGGTTTTGCGCTCTGTCGCCAGGCAGAACTTTCAAATCGATACCAATCAATTGTGAGTAGCTAATCAATCATTTGGCTACACGATTTTTCAATCTTTGTGAAACTGTTGAGAGAGAATGAGAAAAGATACAGATCTACTCTGATTTATTTTCACAAATTGTAAAAATTAGTTGCTTATGTAAGGGGACAATAAAGATACATACTTTTCTGGTAATATATTCTGTAGTTTACGACAGTATACATCAGACACGCGTCAAGTAAATTTTCGTTATCCAGAGGTAATAAATCCGTCAATATATCAGATCGTTACATCAAGTTTTCTACAGTCACATGCTGCCAACTCTCACAGCATCGAGCATTTTCAATTAATCCTAAGTGTTCTGAAGTCCTCCTATTAAGCAAATATGAACTCTGGAGGAGGAGTATTTACAAGTACTCGCGCGCAATGATAAACCCGACAAATTAATTTCGGTCGCTCGGAGTTTAGAAATCTATTAATCCATCGTTATTTTTTATTTTCATTTTCCCATCGATTGCTCCAACTAATCTCGTCGGTTTAATTACTCTGCCCCTCTCGACTTTCAAGTTGTTTGCACATTTCTAATTAACGCTGAGTGATGTCCTTGCCCGAGTCGAAATCATTCCGCTATTCCGTTTTTCACTTTCCGAATTTACCAGAAATAAATTGGTACGCGCTGATAAATACAAAGAGAATGTGAGAACAAAATAATCTTTATCCAAAAATGAAGTACCTTTAAGGACCGGTTGGATTATCTGGAAAAAATAATTTACTCCAAAATTGGGATTCCTAATTACTCTGGCAATTAATCGTTTTTTTTTTTCAATAATTGTTAGCTAGCATTCTAGCGGTTGTCAACGACTAGAACGCTAGCTAACAATTATCGGAAAAAACAATTAATTGGCGGAGTCATTAGGAATCCCGATTTTGGAGTAAATTATCTTTCCGAGATACTCCATCTGGCCCTTAAAAAAATTCACAAAAAGAACATTTTCGAATTGGCACCTGCAATTATAATTTCTTCAACTTTAATCATCCGAAGTCAATAAATTCAGGAATGCATCAAAATTATTTCCATAATTCCGTTCCGCAACTTCTCTAATTAATGAACCCACCTCCCCCCCCTGGGAACTTTCGTAAGCATGTCTAAACTTTTTTAATTGCCAGTGGTTAATGTCATTCCCATAACGATCGTTACCGTGATAAACCTCAATTTGTGAATCAAGCGCAGTGTAAATTGACAGTTTCAGGGGCTCTCTCGACGGTTTATCGACGATAATTTTGAGACTCAGCGGATTCTCTTTCCCTCGACCCTCGGGATTGTCATTTTCCCGGTCCCTTGTCGTGTCAATCTGTTTGAAACAGAGAGCCCGGGCTTTCCGAAGATTCTGCGGGTCCAGAAACGGAAACAGAAACTTATACCCACCTCCGAGAAACTGACCGGCAACAAATTCTGACGAAGGTCTGACAGGCTGTCGCATCGAGATAACATTCTGATGATCTCCAAAACCCAATGGTTTCGAATTCTCCCTATCATCCTCACCATTTCTCCTCAGTACGAAATACGTATTCATGTGTTTGGAATGCCCCAAGCGCTTTAAAATCCCATTATCATGTAAATTCTTCAGAATTCCATTTCCATCGCGTAAATATCGAAGATGTTCTACTGGTGGATTCAATAATCTCACCTGATTATCCATATTCCTCAGCAAATGCTGAGGAATATTCATTAATTCTTGCGACCTCTCCGAAATTTTTATCCCGTTACAAATTCTGGCGAATGGGCAAATGTATAAGACATAATTATGTGATTCATGCGATGGATCTCTCCGAGTGGCTGATTCTCCGGAGTTTGAGACATCCACAGTAGATTTATTGCGGTAATCTCTAAAGTTATTGTCTCCAAGATAATTCTCATGGTGATGACAGAGCAATCTGTGCATCTCTCGACTGCAGAGAATATCTCCATTAATTTTTTCCTTTATTGATTTATGACGTTCTCGAGTGAACGGCCTAGATCTAGTCGCAATCTCCTTCGACACTTCCTCATCCGCGTCTCGGGATTTATCTGTTGACAGGGATTCAATGGGCTTGAAGGGAAATCCAAATGAATCAGAGGAAATTGGAGAATTACAAGAATTCGAATTACGACAATCTTCATTAGAATTCCGTGAATCCGTCCTCAAAGTTTGCCCGCCTTCATTATTTAATGATTTATTTATATCTGTTTCCTCAGGAGATCTCAGTGTTCTATTTCGCGAATTTATTAAAATATCTTGAAAAAGTATTTCAAGAAGAATTGACGAAGTTTTCCCGGGGATTTCAGTCGTTGGATTAAAGCTTATCCTTTCTGTCGTTTCAGTTTCTTCGGTTGTTGCAGTTGTATTTGCATCTGTCGAGAATTCATTTCTTTTCAGACATAAGATATATCGATTACCCGTATCTAAGGCGAGATATGAGGTATAATCAAGGTAGACACTGCTCTTCAGGGTTTTCTTCCAATTCTGCACTTTCCTAGTCATCCCTTTGAGACGCGCTCGATAGAGGCAAATTACGTCCTCCCTGTCTGCGATAGTTTCGATTAATTCCTCTAATCCCTCAGGCTCAACCATCAATGATTCATTAGTTTTTCCACCCGTTTTCTGGTGCTCCAGGGCGAGAGAGATAATTCCCGCGGCTTTACCGACACCACCATTGGATCTCACTGAATTTATTATTATTCGCATTAATTCTCCAGTAGTTAGGGGTTCATCTTGATGCTGTGACACGCTTGCTAACCAAATACTACCCGCATCATCCTTTAGGAATTCCCCCACTGTCTGGAAGGCCCTCTTCACTTGTCTGTAATCATCCACATCAATGGCAATCAATTATTGAATTACAACTGTGGGATCGGTAAAGATTTTTTTTTAACGATCGTTATTTCTAGAAAATTGTGTTTGTTATTTCATCTTTTTCGTTTTATTTTAAAATCTATTTTACACTCCTTATTCACAAAAGAGTTTTTCCACTGTATTGTTATAGAAGTTGCAGAGGAAATGCGATATTAAGTGATTAAAATTGAAAAGATGCTGGAACTTGCGAGAAAACTCTGCCAACTTTATTCTCCTCGATAATCAGCATGAAATTGAGTACAATGGCAGTTATCGGACTTCTTTCGTGTGCCATGCAGCAGGAATAAAGCCTAATAAGTAAAATCTACAAAATCCCAGCTCTTTCTATCTTCTCTACGAACTCTGCGCTTTTTATCACTTTTTTTCCTTTTAAAGTATAAATCTCTTCAAGAATGAATTAGAATGGAAAATTTGACTTTGCGGAAATAGCAAGTGGTTCAATTGAGCGTTATTCTTCTTCTATGATTTATGGTGTAGTAATGCGTTTCATTGATTTAAAATTCTTACTCTCGTGGTGGTGCACTCACGTCTGCGACCTCGACTGACAGGATAAAAAATAGAGTTAGAACGAGGGGTAATAGAGTTGCGTGGAGTTGATACATGGTTGGCATCAACTTCTTTCCCGAGGGTATTACCCACTCATGAAACTCGGTTATTTGCCAAGGAGCACATGTCTGGCTTCAGTTTTATCATGAACGTATGTCTCAATATCGACGTACAGTTAATTATAATTCGATATCCCGAAGAGTGAAAGTTTTAATTAAAACCTTGACAGGGCAGCCGATTGCATTGACTGTGGTTTTATGGAGTGCGATAACAAATTGCTGGAGAATTTCCAACTGTCGGGTGGCTATTGTTGATACACGAGACCATTGTCGAGGGCTTAATTAATTGTTGAGAAATTATGGAGGAAAATGCAGTCATGGAAATGCAGTTGGGGTGAAAATTAATGGGGCCCTTTTGTTTTATCAATTCCCACTGATTTTCATTTTCCACCTTCTCCCCTGGCACAGTGATAATTCAACGGTGAATTTATAAAATTTGCTTGTGAATCCATTTTAAGAATTTAGCGACATCGGCGTAGACGACGTAGTACGATAAATCACAGGAGCTCAGGTTTTCATCTAGCAGCCAGAAAGATAGAATTCCGCGCAGGTAATATCTATCAGTGGTCTGATCATGAATCATTAAACCACTTCCACTGTCCCCGTTACACGGTCCACTGCCATCACGTCGACCGGCGCAGAAGGTTTTGTTAGAGGTGGACGACCCCGATCGAACGAATTTCAAATTACTCCGGAGACAATCCTCCTGTAATGAAGTCAACGAAAAATCGGTGATGGAATTGGACAGCGAGATGAGCTTATTTCGCTTGGAATTCACTTTTTCTTGCAGACCAATTCATTTATATTTTCAATCTACCTCGGATTCTATTTAATCAAGAGTTCACCATTTTGAGAATATCTGGAATCTTATCTTCAGTAAAGCTTGATAATTCTCAGATATTCCCAAACTATTCACCCACCACTAGAATATTCAACGTAATTAAATTTACTTGTGAAACAATGGGTACTTGCGCCTGTCTGGGACCTCCCAGATGCTGATCTCCATTCTCATCTATTCCCCATCCAACGACGTATCCCATTTTCCCCACAATCTGCTCCAATGCAGCAGCACCAGTCCACAGACACACAGGTTTGATACTCCAATTCATCTGAACCCTCTCCCTCAGGATCACAATCGCTAAATCAGCGTGGGCACTTCCTCTATTAGTGTATTCCGGATGAATTACAAATCCCAAAACTTCACGGTTTACAGCACGTGGTTCATGCCAGTCATTGAGTCTGTAGCGCCCCAGGGAGATTAATAATACATTCGCTGGGATTTCGATGCCATTTGATATCATACAGTGAGCTGCTGCGAAATACTCACTCGAATCAGACGATCTCGTCAAAACTTATCCATTTTAATGATTAACAATTACCTGTAAGTACGTGCTTAGCTGTTATTAAATTTCCAGAGCATTGGAACTGGAAGTTGTAACGGGCAATGAAGATAGCGACCAGCCAGGGCCACTGGCTGGCATATGTACCCCAGTTATTTGGCATCGAGTGATTAAGTCTATTTGATTTTCCACAGTTTTCATCCTGATAAAAATTCAATAGAGTCGAATCGAAGGGAGACTCTCCTGCGGGGGGCCTGGGGGTTGTTAATGAAAATGATGGGATGATTGGGTATTTTTCATCAGCAAGAGGTAAATTCTCAAATTCTTTCTGATTCAATGGATGAGGATTTGCATTATTATTCTGGTGTGGGGTATTCACTTCCGGAGTTACTCCTGCTGGATACAGAAAATGCTCTATGAATATATTTGTCACCACTGGACCTCTTGCTGAAAATAAATCCATTCGGGATTAGAAATTTATTGTTATTAATTCGTCTATTTTTATAGGACTCAGTAAGGGGAATACCTTGATGTCCTACGCAGTACTGATAGTTGTTGAATACTATTTCTGTGAGTACTGGCAAAGGTCGCTGGAGTGGAAAAAAAATATTGTAAACCAGTGGTTGTCCAGCTTCTATTGCCAGCACAGACTCCTGTCGGGATTTGGCTAATTCAATCTTTCCGACGTATTGCTGCAACGGAAAATAGAGTGATTACTATTAATCAATGAATTCATTAAATTTATTAATCCTGAATGGTGAAATATGAAGGCGTTACAGGCAATTGAAATTATCATATCCTCAAATAACAATATCAATCACCTGATTGTTCAGTTAAAAAATGAAGACAAATGACCTATTTAATTATAACCGATTCGTATGCTCGTTTGGGCTTAAACTTTCGTGAATGAGTACTTTCTGTCACAAATTCATTACCGTAGGTAGAACAGTAGCAATACTGAAGCTGACACGAAGCTGAATAGCCACATTCCTCGGTGGATGGGGAATTTCAATTCTTCCAAATACTTCTCTCGTTCTATTATCAACAGCATAACGAAAGAATCCAGGACAAGGAGACTGACACGTGTATCCCGCTAATGAATTTAAAATGACTACAGCAGAAACAATAACAAACATTTTAACTGGCGCACAAAAATAATTTCTAGCTCTAGAAAAAAAATAAATAAATAAACAGTCTTGATAGCAGAATAATGAATAACTGAGTGTCTAGATAATCTCGACGAGCTGGAGGGGAAAGAAAAATTGCTTGGCTCAGGCATTTGCATTATGGGATGTGTGGGCACACTCACTTGTACACAATTCACATTCGTGTACTGAATTTCACAAGAGAGTACTTGGTAAATCTGATTTTATAAATCTTACGTGAGATACGCCTCTTATCCCTCGTGTATACTCTTACTCCTTTCCTCCGTACTAAAAAAAATAAAGACCAGCAAAATCAAATGAAGTGAAATTTCCGGTATGAAGTATTGAATTAACTCTTGAAAATTTGAAAACAGTTCGCTTTATTGTATATTCTCTTCATCCGCAAATTACATACACATTTTCCACTTTCATAGACGGTTCCCTCAGAAATTTTCATCACCCCCTCATCAACTTTCATTCCCCTCAATTACACACGTGATGAGTCTCTCGAACCCCCATTTTTTCATAAATAAATTAATCGTACTCTAATATTTACAATGTTTCATCAATTGTTCTCATCAATGTTTAAATTCACACTTTTATTATTTACGCTCATCGGCAAGTTATTTCCATTCACACGCACTTATACGAGACATTCTCTTGTAAAGACTCTAGAAATATTGAGCTTGGTCTGGTCAGTATTCAATAAATATATTCATCAAGTGCATTTATATTTTTCTTCTTTATAATTGAAATAAATTATAGTTGCTCTTTGTGTTTGTCAAACAATTTCCCGGAATTTCCAACAATAATACTGCTACTCCACTTTCCACTTATCCCTTCAACGAAACTTTAAACGGAAGTAACTTGTCGAATTAACTCGTACCAATGAGTCTCTACCGCTTTTCAGATCTTATTTAATTACCTATGAACATACTTTACGAGACTTTGGTCGGAATGATCCCCTCCCACTCTGAAAACTCTCAACGAGTTCCTCATTACCTCAATATTGATTTCCAGATTGAATCACAAATAATTCAATACTCGAAAATACAAAAATCTTATCGTTCACCGGCTCTTCACTGCATCTAACTTCTCGAAATAATTGATTAACCATAAATTCGTGTTATCCACTCACACACAAATAATAGTATAATTAGCGTTTTCAGTGTTTTTTCATGTTCTAGATTCTCAGAGTGAATGAGTGAGTTGATTTTTCAATAATATTCCCTTGACAGCAGCTGAAATGATTGCAACATGAATGAAACAACTGAATTCCTCTATATTTGTCGTCCCACTATAAACAAAACGATTTGCACAGAAACCTCAATGTTTCAATTTTACCCCAAGTATACTGTTCGCTCAGGCACCTGTGAGTATTTACAGTCGACAATGACAACGATTATAACAACTCCACCCTGAGGAGGTCCCACCCGTTCACACATAATACTCTATGAAAATTCGCATTATCCCACATACCGTATGAAACGCAATTATCAATAATTGGATTATAAATAAAAAATACCTACAAATCTACCCTAAGTATCTCGAGATTGATTGATTAATCTATCCAGTCACGATTGTGCATTTAATTATCAATGATTTGACTTTGAAAAACGATATAAATTCATCAGATAAAAACAACAGAATAACATAACTAACAGAGATAATGAGACAGTGTTTGCAGGCATCTCACATCATTGTTTCATTGCAACCATTGAAACACGAGACACCGGGAAATGGACACTCGTCGTCATTGATACTTGTACTTCCACCGACACTCTTTCTTGGTGCTTTTCCAGCCCTTCGTCTCGAGTCCATTCCCCTTTTATAATAACACAGCAGTTGGAGAATTTCGTTAATGCGCTAGGAGCCAGGACTTGAGCCCTCGCTGTTACGTCGTCTGCTTTCTAATTCCTGAGCGAGCATTGTCACCTCCCAGGTGTTATGTCCAGGTGCATCATCAGCATAATCATCAGCACTTCTTCGCCTCCCTGGAACATCAACCTCCTCCTCTGATTTGCTATCATCGCTGTTGGATTCTAATTCGATAGCCACTTCGTCTTTCCAGATGTTTTGGGGAGAAATTGAACGGGGAAGATCTTGGAGCTGGAGGGTCTCCTCCTCGGAGTGTTCCTCCCATGATCGACGATGGCGAGAACTCTCCGTGACAGTGGAGGATCGCCTCAGTCTTGGCCTTGAACTACCCAGGACAGTGTCCACAGAGCTATCTCTCATGAATGGATGATCTTCACCATCCTCCACAGCGTCCTCCTCCATCGATACGTCTGGCTCTGTACTGTCCTCGCACGAATCATCCCCTGGCAACTCCCTCTGCTCCAATTCCTGAATTCTACTTTGCAGTTGGGATATTATCTCATCCCTCTTTCGTATCTCCAATTCGAGGGATGTGAATTGGTGCTCGAATTTCTTCTGGATGCCCTCCTGAAAAATACATTGATGAATGAGATGTTCTTTTCACGGGGCTTTGCCGAATATTCAAGTGGTTACGTATGAAGAAATTCAGGGAGGAAACTAGAGCTTGTAGAAAGTTTCATTCATTTTGCAGCAACGAAGGGCATTGAAATGGAATTCATCATGCGAAGTGAATGCGGAGAATTTTAATATATGTAATTACGCTCACCACGCGCCCGCTACAATCGTAAAGTGATTTTTTTTTCATAGCAAATTCGAATACGAGAGAAATTTATTATTTCTTTATTTTGCCGTAATTCACTTCCTCAAAAAAATTGGTCAAAAGAAATTAGTTAATCTCAATTAATTGCGCAATTAATTGTAAAAAATACTAATTGCCTGAATGAAATATCAGTGCAATCGCTTGAATATTCCTGATAATATTCATCGTACCAAACGTTTTTGTATGACTTCTCGAATGCCAGTCACCAAATCGCCAAGATACTCATCGTCACTGTTTCTCGTTACCATTTGCAGTATTCCCCCAGTGCCAAGAGGACGGAAACTAATTTTATTGGGCGGTGGCAGTGGGGTTTGTCCCTGTGATAACGACAACTTCTCCTCGACGCAGTGCTCCATTGTCAATTGCTCCGATGGAGGGCTCTGCAATGTATACTTATTGAAAGTAACACTTTTTGATAATTTAGAATGCCTTGCGGCGTAGCCCTCGATTGTTTGTGCCCTCATGAGTTTTCTCAACTCATCACTCACTACGTCTGGATCGGGTGTACTTGTGCCAGTCGATGCGTCTGTACTTCCAGCTCTACTTCCCAATGATAATTTCTTTAGGATGCTCTTCAGATTTCGTCTCTCCAGGGTCTCGTTCTCCGGTGAGAGGGGATCGGAGGGTGATTGCGAATTGGGGTGCTCCTGGTGAAGGAAAATCAATTTTAGTGTTTATATCTTCATTTATTCAAGTGGATGTTGACCCAGATTAATTTATACTCGACTGAATTTATTGCTATTTAATTCATTGTTGTTGAATTAATTTTTATTGGACTATCTATTATTCATACATTCCAATGTCAATTCGTTTGACCTGTTTTCTTGCATATTCGAGGAAGGATTCGAATAATGAATTTAAAAACGAGATTCGATTTATGAAAACAAAGGGAAAAAATTTCCACGACATTCCTCTCGTCTTGATTTACCAATTTGCTCAGTACACCTCACCTTATTGAACCTAGCTAATTTCCTGGCATACTCAATGGCACAGGCTTCAGAGTGACTCCTAGTGAGGCTGCCATTGAATCCCCCCTCATTATTTTCCCCGCAATCCAAACTGGAGCTCCTGACCGCCTTCTCCAGCTCGGCAAGTTTCTGCCTCTCATTAAGAATCTTGAGTTTCTTAACAAAAGGCAGCCCACAGTATTCAGGGGATAGATCATCAACAGACGCATACATTTTGGTCTGCTGTCGGATCTGCACGAGTGTCTGTCTGATCTGCATTCTCCTCTGTGGGCTAACCATCTGCGGTGAAGAGACAGCAGATTCCCTGGCCGTCAACGAGGCATTTTTCAGCATTACCCAGGGCTTTTTGGTGCTACCATAGTTACCATTCTCCATTGATACCGGCGAGCTTTTGGTGGTATCAACTGGTAACTTTGCAATCTGCGTACCCTCACCACTGGATTTTCTCGTTAGCAGTGGCTCTTTCGCTGGCGCTTCCTTATCGACCACCGGCTCCGACTCTGTCTTGTTTTTCAGGAGCAATATCCTCTGCAGTAGTGGAAGATTTGGATTAGCTGGATTGAGCTGATCTGCAGGGCTCTGCTGAACTGCTGATGGATGTGTCACATCATTTGGTGGTGCGTGTGTCTCCGTCAGGTGACGTTTCTCCTCGCGATCCTGTTTTTCCTTGAGAAGACGAAGACGCGCAAGAAGAGGAAGCCCAGCACCCAGTGGTGACACCGGTGGCTCCGATGCCGATGTCTCCTCTATTCTCTCATCATCAATCTTGTGCTGTCTACGGAGAGGTGGTACTTTTGGTGCAAGTGGCTGCAACTCCATTGATTCGTCTGGACGTGCCACCCGGCGACTCTTTCGGAGAACATTCTTCAGGCCTTTCACGTCACTCTTTAGCTTATCAACGATGCGTTTGCCGGTGCTATTATCCGATGAATCGTGACCTGGTGATGTTGGCACACCGTGACGGAAGGCACGGGCAACGCGTTGCGCTTCCATCAGGCGCTTTCTACCCAGGTTCTGGAGAATCTCCTGTGCCTCCGGGTAGTCCTTCATCGCAGCTAAAACGTCCTCTCGCGATAAGCTGAAGAGTTCCGAGTAGCCGACTGATCGAACATCAGCTGTCCGCCTGAAAACGGCATTGGTGAGTGAAACATAAAACTTTTTGAATTTTCCAACCCAAATGGAATGCAGAGGAGTGCAAAACTTACTTATTCAGTCCATCGAGATTGAGAATTCCAATTTCTCCGAAAAAGTCGCCAGCTTTCATGGTTGTCAATACCCGTCCAGTTTCACTTATCACCTCGAGTATTCCATCCGCAATGATAAACATCTCCCTAGCAACTTCACCCTTTCGGCATATCGAATCTCCGGGTGTGAATATGTAGGCTTTCATCTTGAGGACGAGATCGTGTAGAAACTCCGGTTGGCATTCCTTTTCATTAAAAAATTTAACGTTAATCAATTACCCATGTGAACACTTGCAAAATCATTCAGACGATCTCAAAAGAAATTCGTTAACTATCAACGAATCAGTTCATCCATTCGATCCCAGCCAAATCTATTTGTTAACAATAACTAATCAGTCCAATAGAACTACGAGTGCTGTAGATTCGCCAACTAAAATGCAAAAAAAAATTTGTTAAAGAATCACGAATACTCCCTAAAATTCCCATCACATTTTGTAGGGGATTATTTCTTCGAAATTCCCTTCACGTTCACCGTCTGAAATATGGGAGTAATTTAGGCTTTTAAAATCTTTTTTTTTCCAGTAGAAAATCGATTGCTGAAGAATTTCTCGTAATTTGTTTATTGAGAAATGGCTAAAGCACCTGAATTTCTGTCGACATAGAATCTTCGTAATTATCATCATTAAATAAATGAGAAACTTCTGAAAACTGAACTGAAAGTCGATGATCATTAATATCTCCGATAGATCAATGGCGAATCGCAATTAAGAGTTTACGGGTTAATTATCACAGTCGAGTAATAACAGTCTTAATTTAGCCGGGAACTCGTTCTGCGAAAAACTATTGTGTCAAGGAGTTGGATTCAGCAGATCGCAAATTCGTTGATAATATGCCGTGCGGGCTGACCCACATATTCAACGATATCAAGTGCATACGAGAGAAGGTTTTCAAGGATTTTACCACGAAACCCTATCAATCTGCCAAATCTGCTCGACAGGCACACATCTGTGTTAGGGAAACAAAAGAAATAATTATCAAGCGAAGGGCGATAATTTCCGGTTTGTCTGTTGATGCCGTGACAGAATTGGAGAACAGAAATTCAACAGTTGAAATGTGCGAATACTGGAAAACCGTTAGGTATTTTATCCAGAAAAATCCAGGAAGACGTTTTTACTAATTCTTCGACTAATTCCTCTTATTCCTACTCCCTACATTCATTCATTTCACTCATTACAGGAATTTAGAAATTTATGTTTTTCAGTTTTTTTTAATTATTACAATTTAATTTTTCTATTTTTTAAATTCAAAAGTAATGAAAATAATTGGGGCAAAAAAATCATTTTCGCTCGCTCACACTTATGCAATTATTATGAATTCGGATGTCGGAATAATTGCGACTTTTAATATTATTCGTGGATAAAAGGAGATTTTGTTCACGAAGAATATTAACAGGACAGATTAAATACTTTATCCACCTCGCGAATCAAATATGAATTAAATAAAAAGTTGGAGATGGTACAAGCGAAGGCACTGACGAATTAAATGAAAGCGAGAAGATACGGCTAGAGGATGAAAATAAGTTCCAGAAGAATTAATTTCATCCTAGAGAAAAAGCGGCTGAACTTCCGTAATCGTGTAGTTTTTGCAGAAAATTTAATTAAAATTATAATAAATAAATAGAATTTAATTTTGCAGAAAATCTAATTAAATTTAAAATGATTTCACACCTAATAACAAATCCTAATAAAAATTCCACCACAATTTAGCGAATACGAGAAATTTTCCTGTCGAAGAAAATATCTGGCTTTTTCCGGTGTAATTTCTCGGGTCCTTTAATTTTCATGAAGAAAAATCAGCGTGTGATTAAACAAAATTTGCAGTGCCAGTACTAGGATAATTTTTCTCTCCGCGGTTGAAAATATTTTTGCGGAATATATCGCTCAACATTGCAATATCTTCCATGATTGTAGCAAGATAAATGAATGAGGTAAAGTTGACAATATTTTTCATCGGTACACGGACCGCTAGTTGAGAAAAAAAAAAATGCTAGAATATTTTTAATACCAAACTTACAAAATCTGATCATGAAAAGTGTCGATAAATATAATTTTCATGTTGGCTCTTCCGGCATCAGCGCGTATTACCGCAGTAGCCTGGAGGAGAAATAAAATGCGAGGGTTCCATGAAGAAGAGAATAAAGAAAAAAGAGATGAGGATGGGGAAAATAGAAGATATCGAGGCGTTTCCTGCGGCGTGACCCGCATCCCTGGTGTTAAAAGTGCGAGACCGAGGGAGATAGAAAAATGGACATCTATATTCTACCAACGAGATATGATAAAAAAAAAAAGGCGTATAGTAAAACCGTATACTGGGTGACGACAAAATCGCGAGAATCTCGCGAGGTCAGTATCGATTCACTTCCGCCCTCTTTTCAACGTCCCAAAGATGGAACCCCTATTTTCGGATTTTTATCTGGTATGTATTTTTGGAATTGGCGTTACCCCTAGGATGTGGTATCGAATCCTTCGCGCATTTGAATCTCCATTTTATTGTGAGCCGCTGGTTTACTGGATTAAATTGTCGAATAATCTTTTCCGTAAATGATGAATGATTGATTGGGAATCAATTGATGAATGATTGATTGTATCTTACAATGATTGCGGAATAATTAAGGAATAATAGAGAAATAAATAATTAAACAGAATAACATCTCACCTGGAATATGGTGACCTTCTTGAGAACTGACAGATTGACGTGTAGCGCAAGCTCGGTCTTCAGCTTGTCCGGCAGTAGACCTAGGGCGGTATTAATATCCCCACCGCCCTGGATCCTTCCTCTGGACCAGCTGTAGTCATACCACCTGAGCACACGTCTCTTCATGCCACCTGGCACCTTATGATGTCTCATGTAAGTCTTAGCTCCATCAAGCAGCCTCTCAAATTCAAGTCTATTGGCATTGCGATTGGTGATGACATTGCCAACTTGTCCAACGATCGTGGCAAATATGAAGACCCCGATGAGATAGCTGACTATTGTGAATACGTATCTGGTTGTTGGATTTTTCGTATCAGCAGGAACAGAGAAAAAAACAAAAACAAAAAACAGAGAAGATCAGTCGCGATGGTATCGTTGGCCGAGTATGGAACGAGCAGTCCCGCCGGAGCCTTCCTCCTCTTTCATTTATATATTTTTTTTTCATCATTCAATATGACCAATTCGTTTGTTCTACTCGTTTCATTGACTGTTATTTTTCGTTAAAAATACATTCCAACCTCAGTACTATGAATTCAATCGCCTAGTATCCATGGTCTAATCAACACTGGAATAAATACCTCAATGTCTACAGTAGCTCAGTAATTTTAAAATGATCGATAAATCGAATGACAAAGCTATTCAACTTGTCAACCCTGAAACCCCATCAAGTCCCCCTCTTCTCGATTGATAAAGACATAATAATCTAAGAAATTATACCATTGTCCCTTTACATCATTCTCGAGCGGCAACTTCAACTAGATTGAATTTAACTTGTTGAAACAATGAATTTAATTACGCAAACTTTCAGACGTTACACTGTAACTCACAATCAGCCTTTTTGCTCCCATTGTTCCTGCTTCCTGCCTGAATTAATTCTCAGGGACCTAGAGATAGTGTGTATACTCCTCCCTCCTCACAAAATCATGAGTATGTTCTCTTCAGCTATTGGTAAGATACTCTAACCCGTAAATCTTGTTCTATTCGAGGGCGAATGAAACATTCCGGTATTGTGTATTTGTTTGCCAAGACATACACTAGTATCCCCCCATTCTCATCTCACCCCCCCAGTCCTCTCCCCCAGTCGACAATGCATTTTCGTGTATTATGGAAGCCAAAGATGTGATGTCGTTTCATCCCCCAGCTCTCTGCGTTGTTCTCCCCAGGAGTAAAAAAAAATCTTTTCTTCTCCCATGCATTTGACTCAGCTTTTATTTCCACCGGTGTAAAATATTTTCTGACTTTTTTCCTTCCTGGAAAATCCACCCGGGAGAACAAAAAATGAAAGAGAAAAAAAAAGAGAAGAAAGGACTGGGCATTTCTCCTTTTTTCTCCCCCTCTGAATCTTGCCCCGTCCTCTTCCTATCTCTTCTGCCGTAGATTCACTTTTTACTCAAACGACAGTTTATCTTCTCAATTCCCCTCAGTCCCCCAACCAATTTCTTTTCCCAGATATTTTTTAATCAGGTTAATTTCTTCCAGGATTCATTTCGCTGTGGTAACCCAACGTCAACCGAATGGCTTCTCGAATCTCATTTTATGTTCACGGTGAGGCAATTTTTATCTTCTTCGAGTCCGCTAATCTCCATGAAGAACCTTGTTATCACAGCTGATGCTTGGCGGCATATTCATACCGTTGGAATGACGTTTTTCTTCACACGCTTTTCCCCCCCAGGAGTTTCTATTTTCATCAACGAAACACAGACAATCTCGCATCAACACCTAGGATTACCGTACGCCCCAGAAAATGTGCAAATGCCCACACACTGAATAAATTAATTAGGCACTTGGATGAGGGTACGTCGATGGAATCCCGTGGGACGGTTTAATTACGGTATCACGGCCCAGGGTGATAATCTCCATTGCATCCGATCGGTTGGACGTTTATGGGAGATACCCCAGTGGCATCATTTCTGCTCGTATCAACGATCCAGTTCTATCAGACCTTATACCCTCCATCCGGCTCAACGAAATCGCAATTAGACCTGCAGACGGTGTTTATTTGCAATTCAAAGTATCAGCCCACCCTCGGTGCCTTGGGCATATTTTTCTTTTATCACTTTCTCTCTCCGTCGTTTCGGCTGGAGTTGAATTTCACTGCATTGCAGTGTGTTCCCTGATTCTCTTAACCAGCACCAGAACCGGGAAATGACCTGACCTCTTTTTTTCATCTCCTGGGGTATGGGGCTTTGGACAGCCATCGATTCCCTTCCACTTGTCATCGGGGTGACAATGCTGTACCTGGATAAAGAGGGATTGATTGATCGTCAACGATATCTACGATTTTTTTTTACTCCTCGAGATAATGGAGAGCTGCACCATTGCAAGCCTTTTTCATACTTTTTTTTTAATACTAGCGTAAATGGCGCGCTCCGCGCGCCTAATCTCACACGTGTGGGGTGTTATCCAAATTTATCATAATTTTGTTTTTTCTTCAATTAAATTCAATTCATAAATCGAGGAGGTATTCACAGAAATGAGAAAATTCGAAATTTTTGAAAAAGTATCAGGGGAACATGAAAATCAAGGAGGTATTCACTGAAATTGAAAAATTCGAAATTTTCAAAAAAATATCAGAGGAGCATAAAAATCGAGGAGGTATTCTCTGAAATTTTAAAATTCGAAACTTTTGGAGAAGTATCAGGGGAGCATAAAAATTGAGGAGGTATTCTCTGAAATTTTTAAATTCGAAATTTTTGGAGAAGTATCAGGAGAGCATGAAAATCGAGGAGGTATTCACTGAAATTTGAAAATTCGAAATTTTTAGAAAAGTATCAGGGGAGCATGAAAGTGGAGGAGGTATTCACTGAAATGCCAAAATTCGAAATTTTTTGAAAAGTATCAGGAGAGCATGAAAATCGAGGAGGTATTCACTGAAATCTGAAAATTCGAAATTTTTTGAAAAGTATCAGGAGAGCATGAAACCCGAGGAAGTATTCACTGAAATGCCAAAATTCGAAATTTTTGGAAAAGTATCAGCGGAGCATGAAAACCGAGGAGGTATCCACTGAAATGTTTGCCCTACTCAAAACTCCCGCGTTTTCCCGAAAATTTTCACAATCAAAGATATCCATCTAGCCATAATGAAAAAAATTCTGTTTCCATCTCTCAATTAAATTCAATATTTTTTTGGACTAATATCGATATAAATACAATATTTTTTTCTTACGCAAATCATTATTTTATTAAACTGGTATATTATATTATATTATATGTAAAAAAAAAAATTTCTTTTCTCTCGTATACCCTTTCGGGTTTTTACGGTTAGTTGGTTCCCTTCCCACCCCCCCAACCCCCTGTACCGCATTTGCTTGAAGGGAGGGAAAAACCTCATCTGAGGGAAAAAACCTGCCCAGGTACAGTCGTCCTTTTGACAGGACTACCGCTCGGCAGTGGAACCGTGAGATCAGAGCGCTATAAATTTTTGACCGCCGGTGCCCGGGATCGAACCCGGATCTCTGGCATGCTAGTCTAGCACTCTAACCGCACGGCCACTACCGTCGGTTATTATATGTATATATAGCTTAGCTATGTACCGAAAAAATGTTCGTCCATGGACGATTTGGTGGGAGAATCTTTCCCCCGGATCCCTCCCGGAAAAAAGGATTTCGCACCAGGTGCTCAAGAGCCTTCCGGTCACTGGGGAAGGTGTAATCGAATTTAATTGATGATGGAGATTAATGGTAGCGAAAGAAATAGGGGAATTTTTTATGGCTATTTGAATTCCTGTGTAATTCTTAAGTTAGATTTATGACGGAAAGAAATTCAAACTTCATTAACCAAAATGAAGTGAAAATAGCAAAAAAAATAAAACTGTCAGCTAGAGATTTTTATGTGGAAGAGAATTTGAGCTTTTCAGTTTTTCAGGGATTGGATAAAGAGGACATAGTAATAAACTTGAAAAAACTTGAGGACGGCACTTGAAATTAATTGATCGCTAAAATTCAGTAGCGAAGTAATGAAGGTCAATGAGTCATGTAGTAATCCCGCAGTAACTTTTTACTCCTTACTCCACTCTGAATTCATTTCAAGAGAATGTCAAGGTTCCTCTGTCAAAATGAAATTTTTGTGAGATCTCTGGAATTGATGAAAACAATATTAAATGAAAATGTCCGGCTATATCGATAATGAACACCCAATAAATTCCAAATGTATATAAATGCGACAACGTAAAAGGTCGTAAAAAAAACCGATCAGAATGGAGAAATAAATCGAACAGGAGTCATAAAATAAAGTTGAGATTTCTTTGAAGATATCAAACAGAATTGAGCTGCAGAGTAACAGTAAACACAAGGTCGACCTTATACGATTACTCTGCAAGACCTATTGCTCGCTCCATGCGCCAAATTTGAATTTGGCGGTTCGTATTATTGTAACTGAGGTGAGCTTCACTTTTGTATTTCTACTTTCATAACAAGGACCTCATTACTAAATTCATCCAAACAATTTATAATCTGCAATTATCAAAACGAAAAAATGAACGAACACGATAAACTTGGATGACACAATCCAACAACAAATTCCACCCCAGCTTTTAAATTAATTCGCTGAATTTTAGAAAGTAGCCAAAAGGAGTAGAATATTTTCACCGAAAAATGAAGGGATTCCAAAGCACCTAATTGGCCCAAAAAATCCGGGGCAAATGGCGTAAAGCTATTCAACCCTGCAATATCCTTTCCGAATTATTTTAATGGATTTAATCGGGGTAATGGTTGATAGGACTAATGAAACAAAGGTATTAAACCACGAACAACCGCAAAGATCATCAGGGCTTGCCATGTGGTCGAGCTGCTGACTACAAGCCCCAGGTCGACTCGGCAATTTCGATATTGCGAATTCCAGCGGAGAATCCTTGAAAATCCTCAGCATCCCCCAAAATATCTCCAATACTTCACCCCCCAGCCGAAAGTGTCCAACAGAATTTCGCAGTTCCATTAAACTTGAATTTTTACGTTCGCTTTCCTTTTCTGATGGCAAAGAAAACGTCAAACGTTTTTTTTCATTTTATGTCGAGATCTGTATACTGTTGTTCGAGTTGTGAGGTACCTCATAACCCTGAAGCTCAGTAAAACTAAACAATAACTTAACATTTTAGTAGCTTGGTAGGTGGATATCTAGTGAGCGAATGGTTTGCCATCGTGAAATGGTAAACTACCAAGTCTTAACGACCCCAGGTGATCCAGTCCAGGGTGTTTCCATGATATATAACACAAGATCGAACCTTCGTGACTGCCAGCATTACTCAGCGTTATCTCTCAAGTGTAAGTTTACTTCGCCACTTCCTCTTCCTCTTTTTCCTCTGAAAACTTCTCCGTAGCATAACTCTTTTCACCCAGCAAAGAGCTACACAGATTCGCTGTCTTGTATCATCTAAATCTCTCTGTTCACCAAGGATTTTCCGGTGTGGAGTGATTGAAATTGAATAGCACCATGTGATTTCATTAGATCTCCAGTTGATTAGAGTTCATTGAATCATTCCATCGCTTTCACTCAACCACAAAGGATGTGTACCATCACCAGAGGAATTTCCACCCAAAGGGGTGGCATCCAAACCCATTGACGGCCCTCACCGCGTCTGGGGACCCGATGTATCACGTACACTGGCACGTGCCGGAAATCCTTCGGCGTGTTCTTCAACCAGGAAGTGCAAACGTCATCCATCCACCAGTATTGTTTCCTGCCAGCGACCTTCTTAGAGTTCATTCCTTCAGCAAACGATTCCAAAAAAAAAATACTGTGTCCCAGGATTCCATCACCTGCACCAGTTGGACTCGATCCAACCCAACGACTTTCCCAATATCTATTGACAGGCATCGATATCTCTATCCCTTTCTCCTCATTTCTCCTCGATTTCACTCCTCTCGATGCAGATACCAGAATCATATACACCAGTTTATTGATTCCTCGAGCGCTGGCATCACCTAAAACCCTATAAGCTCTCTCATGTGCCTCAACAATACCGGAGATCACATCTCGTTGAATATGAATACCGTTGCAAGAGTATCCACCAGGCTCAACATCAATAATATTCTTTGAGCAATCCCTCCTCGAGAAGGGGGAAAGTAGTATCCATCGAGGGGTTGGAAATACGGTCTCATCAATTACCAGAGAGATCACCGCATCTGGATTGCAGAAGTGCGTAATAATTCACAGAGAATTTTTACTCCGGATAACGGTGCTCGATATAAATGACAAAAGTTACTTTTCTGATCCCTTGGAACAGCTCTTAGCTGTTTCGCACAATCGGGAATTCCACATCGACGATTATGAATGCCCCACAGAAACCCTCGAGTATCGTCTCCCAACACGCGTGAGTATTCTCCCAACTGCTATTTTCATCCCCTCTGTTTTCCCTTGTATTTCACAACCCTATCCAGTCAACGAGTATCTCTGTATGTGTCCCACTCCCTGCATCTCACATATACTCGACCTATTTTCAGGGGAATTTAGCGAGCACGTTTTCGTCTAAAATTGGACATTTCCGTCGGTTTCCACAACATTTCTACATGTGTATTTAGGGTGGAGTGAAGGGGTTTCTTATGAAATAGACAAGATTGTTGACCATGAATACCAATGCGAGTTAAGCAGCACGGAAAGGAGCGTGACTATTACGACGGGAGGTTGGCTTTTGCGGTTACTTGAACATCTTTTTTTTTTTTCAATTTGTTTTTTACTTCTTTTGCTCTCCGCCAGTTCAACCCTTAGACCGAATCTCCTCGAAATTCATGAATTATCATTATTACAAAGATTGTTAGATTTCGTGTCGTCTGATTACGAGTACTAGTACAAGTACGAGAGCGTGGTACTCGTTTTTTTTTTCTCATTTGTATGTTGTATTTTTAATTTGATGAAGGATTCACCGGTGAATCGAGTGATCGGGATTGGGGGAAGTGTGAAATTCAATGACTTACACCTTTGATAAATGGTGATTGTGATTTTGGGGTAGGCTTTCGGTCTAAGGGTTTAAATAATTGATTGTCTTTTGAAAACGATACAGATACCCTCCGTTATGCTTGAACTGCAGTAGCCGGGACAGTCGGCCGCGACGAGCGAGGCTCCGGGGATTGCCGCCCGCAGTGACTCTGCCAACACAACAACTTCGCGTCACGGCTCTAATTCCTAGGAACTAATGGCCATTTTTTTCCAACGCCATGAGTACATAATTAATGCTAGAGCACGTGTGAAGTTGGCGGCATCCTGGTCTGCCAATCACACGAGTTGAAACATCATGTGTCCGAATCAGATTTTTTTCACTGCTGCATTCAACCCCTGGGGAAAAGTGGATTTCCTCCACCCGAAGGAGAAAAACCACTCGCATCGCAGCAGTGACAAAAATTTCGGCTATGAATAAATTCAATGTGAATATGAGAATCGAGTTGGCTGAGTACTACACTCTGAAAAAGGATTACTTCTCAATTCTGGGGGGAATTCTCAGAACCGAAGGGAGATGGAGAATTTTTCATAGATACCTTTTTTGTAGCTTGCATTTTTCTCTATGGTTAATATATTTGATGAAATAGTGATATCTATCTTCGGTTCCAAGATAGCCCCAAAAAACTGGTTTCGAAAAATGAAATTCGCGGTTTATCATTTCTCAATGGACTTCGAACTTCGGAATTCGACATTCTAAGTTACGATTTTAAACTAGTAATTAAGAAATTCATCGCACCATTTAATTGAGTGGGAATATCGTAAATTACACTCCAGAACCCGCAATTAACGGTAAGCTGTTTCACTGTTTGATCAGCTGACTGTTGACAGCTCAAAAAAATACTTGCCATATGTGAAATAAAAATGACTTTTCACAATGAATTTTTTAACCAATCAGGTGTGATTCTTTTCCAGAGTGTAGCTTGTCCTTTTGCACAGTTATAGGCATTGTCAATGGAAATCGACCCTGAAGATAAATGGCTGAGAAATGTAGGTTTATGGCGTGGGTGATCCCCGTTGGACAGAAAATGTCAGGATTAATCAAGATAACTGGATTAATGCCTGGCAATCACGAGGACTCGGGGTTGAGGCAATGCCGGATATGTACTTTCGTCATCTCTTTGCTCCCATTAAAGCGCAAAATAATCTGGGAGGGGATTGATAGGAGTCCAGTTCGATTCGGTCATTCATGTGACTTTGAGGGGGAAAATTCTAGTCGATGGCGGATTCATCATTTGTGTATTGATGTGTATTGATTGCACGAACAATTTCCATTTAATTTGTCCAGTGAGAATTCAATGCGGCAGCAGTCAAGCTGGATTTTATGAAAGAGCCACGAACGCGTTTCATTGGTATATTTTTCATCGGCTAGTTTATGGCGCAATTATCAGCTAGGTTTTCTCGTTCTCCAGGGTTCAATGAACTTTTTAGAGTATTTATTTGTTGTCAACGAATTCGTTAGTCTCTGTTCAGTGTATTTTGTTTCATTGGAGAATTTTATAGTTTTGTGTCTAGGGGATGGAATAACCGAGTTCTAGGGGTGATTCACTTCGAGGAATCGTAGATCTACGATATGAGATGAAGCGTCTCCCTTCGGAGTCAATTTACATCCGTAAAATAGTGAATCAGCCATTCGTCCGAATCATTTCATCCCGCAGACGATGGAAACTAGAACTTCTTGGAGATAACGTAAGGCCACTGAGGGAAATTCAATAAAAATTATGTGTGACTTGCGCAATCCGAGTGGGAAACCAGTGTTCCTCAATTTTTATTGAGATTTAAAGGAAATTATTATTCTATCTGTAATTGTTATCTTGAATTTTCATGAAATTTGTGCAATTAAAAAAAAATCTCTCAGTGGGGGATGAATACTCATTACAGATCAACAACTGAATTCAAGAAAAATCCACTGATGATACAAGATTTTTTCATTTCAAGAGTTTTTCATTTGAAATTTTAATACACACGTTAAAAGCGTCGCTAAATTCCAACAGGTATTGAAAAATTTAAACCACCGACTTTTCTCCGGGTAAATGACACTGAGCAGAGTTAATTCTCACTATTTTTTGCGCCCTGAGCGGAAATCCACCCGCGGTATCTCCGCAGTCTCTAGAATAAGTCACGCTCATCAAAATTTATTACGAGATTTCCATTTTTCCAGTGAGCGGTAAAAAAATCCACAAATTCTCACCAACTCCTCAAGCTGAAAATCGTTTGACAATCAAGTGCAACATGGGAGGCAATTTTTTTCCATTCAACGAGGCAATAAATTCGGACAATTTCAGTAATCGATTCCCATACCCGTATTGATAATTAATGAATGAAAAAAAATGTGTAGAGATGAATGAAAAAAATGTGTAGAGATTAATGGAAAAAATGAAATGAATGGCATTGTAAATTTTTCATTGACTCACTCGGCGTTGGTCTCGGGTGTCGGTAGATCCCCGATGGTAGTAAGTGTCAAAGTGGACCAGTAAAGTGATCCCAGGTACTTCCTAGTGAGTGTAGCGTATTCACCAGGTCTATGCGGATATACCCAGTCCCCTTGAAAGCCTTCAGCCTCGCTCAGCAGATAATAAAAGCATCCGAACCAGTGGGCAAGAATCAGCAGTATGTGTATTAAATTCAACACTCTCCACAAATTGGGATAAACCGTTCTCGACTCAACCATGTAGTAATAATTATAAACACGATAAACTTTGAGAAAACGTGGAAATCTGAGCATTGGATTGCTGCCCAGATTTACTTGAAGTAGATCAAGTGGTAGTAGTGCCAATAAATCGAGAATAAATGACTTGGATTTGAGGTAGTGACCAGCTAATTTTTTGTTGTTGTATACCATGAGTCCCTGCTCCAGGTAGCCAGTTCTGAATTGAACACCAACATCGAGAAAAAATATGAGATCGGTGAAGCCATCAGCGGCCAACCAAGCGGCTGGTGCCATAGCTTGCAATTCCGGGAGACTCTGTCGCACTATTAAAGTCCAAAGATTATGAAGTACACAGGCAGAGAGGAGCATGAGCCAGTAGTAGTAAAAGTTTTCGTCTGGATTGACAACTGTCTTGGGTGGGCGTTGGGCTTTTCTCTGTCGACGTCGTCTTCTGGATGAATCTTTATCGTCAGCTGTATCACCCTCACCTTCACCAGTGTCCAGGGTCTCCTGGCTCTCCGGTATTTGTCTAGTTGAAAATCTCTTGAGGAATGAATCCTCGCGCTTGAGTGGTGGCTTCTTCTGGATTGTGGATATTGCTGAGGACAGTTGGACGGTTGTGCGGAGTTTCATCCATCGCTGGTTGCTCTTTGTTCTGGAAAATTAAATGAAACATTGAGCAGGTCCACAGGATTATTACATTATGCGACAGTTCGACGATTCAAAGTGACGAAATAACCAAACGCTGTGGTTTGGAAACGGAGGAGGCTTCATTAAAAAAAAAATAATCTGGAGATCGCTTGTGGCTATCTTGAGGGGGAACTTAGTCATCAAGAGTTTCCACCGGATGGAGACGCTTATTTGCCCCCTGGTCCTGTGGGATTGAACGTGGGGACCACTTGGGGTCTCATTCCTCCGAATGATCACTCAAAGCTCGTAAGTGCGCGCGCAGATCAAGGAACATGATAAAGTAACATTTTCAACACTTGTGCACACATTTGGCTTTTTTAAAAACCTTTCTAATATTGACGTTCGTATCGAATAGAGACACAGACAGACGGACACCAAAGTAATAAGTGAGACAGTGCGAGATAGAATAAGACACAGACAGAGAGTGAGATAAATGATAGATTTACTAGATTACATTCCCATGTATTGCCCAGTATTTGTTCAGTCATAGATTTTATTTCATGAGAATTCATCAGGTTGCAGTCTAGGTTTTTCATAAATACATAAAGGAATTGGTGGGAGTGTCAAGACATATGTACAAGGCAATGTGGAGAATCCTCGGTGGCAACGTGTCACCGACAGTTATCTAAGTCAACTACCAGATAAAACTATGCATACGCTGCTAAACAATGTCATAACATTATCTATGGAACTAATAGTCGTCAATCCAGGAGATAACACACGAGACGTTTATAGAAACCAGAGGAGAACGTATATATGCAATGGAGAGTCAACTAGGGGTGGTGATGGCTTCTGTGAACCTTGCATGCACATTTCACCAGTTGTTGAATTATCCACAAGTGGATTTTTATAATCGTATTTATTTGAATATAGATGAGAAGAACAGCGGCTATGGAGAGTATGAAAACAGTGGTTATTCAGTAATATTTGTGGCCACATTCCCTGAATTGAATCACGAAAAGTGGGTGAGGTAGAAGTGGTGACAGAATTTTAAAGGATATTTTAGTCAGATATTAATCATATTGATCTTGCTCATATGTTCGGCAATGGCTATTGGTGATATTACTGGGATACCTCTTGATTTTTCGAAGTGAGGAATACAGTGCCATGACTGCACGCACGTTACTCCACTTTTGGGAGCCTCTGGAGCTACGTGGACGTCTAGCGGATTCAGGTAATTGCTGATCAGGTGCATTGCTGTCGATAGAATCCAAAGAGATGTTTGAATCGCCATCATCATCATCACCAAGCCCGTTGCTGAAGGACTTCCTCAGAGATGCGCGTCGATGTAGCCGAACACTTGGTCCCGGTGATGACCTGAAGAAGACAAGACGACAACCTGCCCTTTCCCTCATCCGTTTTTTTTTGCTTTTTGGCACAAAGGTCTCTGGTATTTTTGGACTGATCTTTCGGGGGATTCTGCTCCTACCGCAAATCATCTCTTTACCCACTGTCTCTGTGTCTGTCTGAGTCTCTGTACCTAGGAATCTATGGATCTATTCTCTGCTATTTCGGGGGGGTCTATTGCTTGACTATTTTCAAAGGGGGCTATTTACGGACGGGTCGGTTATCGACTGCTGATGAATTATTTGGGTGGGGCTAATTTCATCATGGCCCAGGGCGATTGAGGGGAAATCCTCCAGCCCACGCCCAACATTCAGCCGATTTACCTGACGCCTACGTTTGCCGGGCTCTTCGAATATCAAAGACTTCATTTATCTCGGGGGCTTATGAAGTTTACGGTTGAAACAAGATCTACATCACTGGAATTGTAAAATAATAAGAGAGCGGGGAGAATTTTTTTTTTTTGTATTTTTTGATTGCAGAGACTTTCGTTATATCGAATTCGCAGAATTCGGCTGTACTGTAAACGGAATTTTTCATAGCAAATTTGAATATGAGTAAAATTTGTTTTTCGGCTTTATTTTTTCCAGAATTCAATCTCTCACTGGACGAGACAATAGATTGTTTACATCTTATACCCTGGAGGTAGCAGATTTGGGAAAACCGAAAGATACACGAGAATAAAAATTGAGAGGGACGACTGTAACGAGATTGTACTGTAATCTTATTCATTGAATTTCGAAGGAAAGGACTCTTGCAAGAACTCTTGAATGAATATAGGAAAAAATAGGGCGAGTTATTTTTATAATTCATCGTCATCGTCTAGGGCAGAGTCTTTTGTAATTTCTCTCCATCTTAATGCTCTCCAATTATTTTTGAATTTCAATCTGAGATAAATTCTTTTTTTTGTGGGGTTTTCCTCACAATTGTAATTATAAAGGCAAGTCGTTTTAAAATAGAAAAGATGGGACTTTGAGCGATTAGTGGTTGAATTTCCACAATTTATTCAGCTTCACACCCATTTTCTTTTTATTATCTACAGACGATTACGGGAAGCCTATGAGCCCCATTGAACCCCTCTTTTTAACTCTTTACACCAGTTTCCACGAATACTCAAAAGCACTCGGTGCCTTTACTAGAATAACTCCAGGGATTTCACCCCTCTATTTTTTTCTCTCATTTTTTTTTTCAGCACAAAAAGTAAAAGCCCCCGAATTCAATTTACACGGTACACTTGAGTGTCATTCACTGTCATTCGATCATACGAAAGAATGTTTCAACACCCTGAAAATCGATATTTTCATTCCGACAGTATTCGGATCAGAATGAAGAGCTGAGAGCTGAGCTACTGCATTGAAACGTTATGTTTACCTGAGAGAGCAAATTGATATTTGTTTTTCGGTGAGTTTGCTAAAATTCATGGGCTCCGTGAAGTTGAGTTAACCCAGTTTTCCCAACGATATTTGCAATTCCAAGGGGTTTACAGTTTAAATAAAACTTCTCACCCCCATTTGTCTCGTAAATATTCCCTAAATACAAAACAAAGTTCCTTTTTTATTCAGAGGATTTGAAGGTTTTTTAGCGGTGAAACTCTTTGGAAGTGGGGAATAATGAGAGAGGCTTGAATGCCTTCCGAGGTCGGAACAATCTCAGCTTCATCTACTTATTCCCTTCCATTGAAAGAGATTGAGAATATACGTGGGACAGTACTTGCTTGAAATGGGTTTCAGAAGAATTCGATTTTCCAACGAAAAACCACAAATTACTCTTAGAGTTCGATAACCCACGAATTTAATATTCATTATTTTCTCTGTCAATTTTTTGTTCAGCTAAATTTCCCCCGATGATAACAATAATTACTGTAATTATCATTCTAGAGAGGGATGAATAATGAAGTATCAAAGAAAACTCCGCAATTTTAGGGAAATTATGAATAAATTCTTCAAACACTCATTGCAGCGCATGATTGACCCATTTAATTATCCTCAAAGTATTCACCATTGCATTAATTGAAGGAGAAAATGCTGAGGATCTGAAAGTATCCATAAGTGGATAAGCAACAGGATATTATTCAAACAATTAGAACTATTTATTACAAATAGTGAATAATATTTTAACGAGTAAAGATAGCAGGGTAAACGAGTGATTACAACGGAAGGTGTGAAAATTTGAGTGAAGAAGGTCACCAGGAGGTGAAAATGGAATGATCTCGGTGCTAGTGGTGGTGATAGGGGATCCAATTTGTGCAGATTCAGTCTAAAAGTTGAGTGTTCCATTAGAATAATGGGATGGGAGAACTACGAGGTGGTACAAGTATACACATACGATTATCGTATTTACTGAGTGTCAAGAAATTTAATCAAGAACTTGAGCCGAGAGATCATATGTAATTTGTGAAACAGAGAAATTGCTGATTCAATTACCGATTTTTTCACAGGGTGATTCGAACGGGCTATCGGCACGTGCGATAAATCGTAATGAGAGCGACGCAGTCATGAATGTGTCGAGAATGATAACGGAGTTAGTCCTCACATCCGATATAGAACAGTTTAATGACAATCATGCTGGCAGACCGACAACCAATCAATGAACGTACCACATCATTCAGGATAGCGCTTCTAACTCGGATAATGTACATCGAGATAAACAGGGCATTTCATCGGGTAACAATCATCATCAGTTATCTCGATTGATCATCATTTGGAGGTGAAGAACGTTTTCTAGGTCAAATTTTTCAACGAAAAGCTCATGTTCCGATCAAAATTAATTATTACAGGAATATTATCCCTAAACATGAAAATTTGCGCGACATTTCAGAACATTTCAGAGCATTCAAGTATTTATTACTGCTTGAAAGGACATATGGCAGACTAATGAATATTGTTTTTACTTCAGTGTCAAAATTATTGGGCTCTGCGCGAAGTTTTAGAGAATGTATTGGCGAAAATTTGACGGTGGACTGAAGAATGAAAGTCGTAATTACGGGAGGGACGCACGTAAAAATTTATTGCACATAACTCGGGTAATTTATTCTTCTTCGCGTACATTTTCTGAGAATACTCATAAATATCAGCCATTTTCTTCAAACTGTGTTCTAATTCAATAAATTTTCTCTAATTAAAGGGGAGTGCTTGTATTTTGCCTCGCGGTTTCTTCTGGATTTCTATAAAACTTCCGGAAATAAGTATCCGCCTCAGAATAATGGGAGTTATTACGATAATTTTCCGCAACATTGTGAAATTGGAAGTAGCGAAAAAAAAATATGAAGGCTCTCATGATTGTTTACAAATAGAGAAAAATAATTTCAGTAAAAGATCATTTACTGGGAGGTCTTTATAGTATCTTGACGGAGAAATAATACCAATTAGATGAATTAATTTTGTCAAACTGTCGAGTGAAGTACAGAATTTCCTGAATATCTCTTTTATTTCATTATCAAGCGAATTCAGTCTCTCCATTTTGCAACACCACCACTGAATTGTTTCAAGAATTATCTCCGCAGTTCACCCAATGCCATAAGGCAGGTCAATGGGCTACTTAATTTTTATGGAATAACCAGGAGCTTTACTGCACTCCATCAGTAGAACTGGCGATATTTTTCCACTCAGAAAGCCTGATTCAAGGTGCAGATACTCGTCGTCAATTTGCCAGTGGATTTGCACCAGAATTTTTATCACTTGAATTGGTAATGCCCCGAAGCCTGATTGCACCGTTGAATGATAAAAGAGGCGAGATGTCGAGTGAGAATACGAAAAAAAATGTCAGAGACTTGCCGCAAGCGTTCGGAGTCAGAGCTGGGTTTGAGCAACACTTAGGTCATGCTGGGTGTGTCCTCAGGGATATTTGCCAAGGCATTTGAACAACTGAGCCTGGACCAATCCATGTGGCTTTTTCCTCTGTCTGTCGACACACAGAGGGACAGCATCTCTGATTGTCCACGGACACAACTCGAGAGGGAAATTCATTCGTCCAAATAACGAGAGCATTTGGAGATGGAACTCTTGGTAATTCAAGAGCTTCAACGAGTGGAATGGAACACAACAATGAGGGTTTCCAATGAGCGAGTGCTAGGGATGTCTGCATGAATTGATTCCTGGTGCACAATGCTGGGGTATTCCCTGGAAGATCTGGTGCTTTGTCGTGACGATGCGAATAAAGTATGGGAAAGACGACCAGGGATACACAACTTCAAACCTCTGAGGTACGAATGCAATTATACTTCTCAACAATTCCAGACACTTTGGGGTTGATTGATCAGGGGGTGTTGGGGGCTGTATGGGGGTGCTATCTATCTAGTGTTTTGCAAGGGCTTAATCATAAATATCTGACCTGCTTCCTCCTGGTCGGCGACTGCTGCTCTCGTCGTCCTCGTTGTCCTCGTCGTCGTGGGATGTTGCCAGTGAATGTGGTACTGAGGATGGTGCACTGCTGCCAGAGTCCAGCCCAGGACCCATCCTCGAACTTGACGCACCAGGGTGACTGGATTGCGCCAGACCTCCGCCCTGGGCTTCCTCGTTCTCCGCCCGATCCACCTGTTAAATATTTCATATCATTAAACAATTGAATAAAAAATTTAAACAAGTAGAGTTTCTCCATTATTAGTATTCACTGCGAATTTCAATGAACAGAATTCGTTGAATCTATTAAAAATTTTCCACACAATTATCAGACTGATAGTCCAACCCTCACGTACTCTGGTTTAGGTGGATTTTAATAATACGATCCTGGCTTAACAGAAGGCCAGAGTGGGTCGCCAAGGGATCAGCCCAGGGAGGTGGGGTTCAACCGACATGAAAAAGAGAAGGGAAAAGGGACGTTTTGTGATATCACGTGCAGGACATTTTCCAGCGGTACGGGACTGGAATATGCTCTTGCCATCCTTGCTTTTCTCTCCTTTATCTGTGAGACAATACAACGGCTCATGATCTGTAGGAAAACGAGAAATGCCTGGGATGAGGACACGAGGAAGTGGCACGAGTCAAGAGTCCTCTCCGTTATGTACGTAGGTGCTTATTGCGCACGTGTGTACATAAAATATCCGATTTACTGGTAGTCTGCCGTGGACCGTGGGTTGGATATATAAAGCGCCTCGGAAATTATGAGGAGAATAGGGTCCTCGGGGTTTATTGACCGCAAGTACCACGGCTTCTTCACCATTACCAGAGGTGAGGAATTTTTTACATTTGGCATTCATAAATTAATGACGACTCAATTAATTCTAATTCAACCGATTTTTTCTATCATTCGATTTTCTGTTACTTAATATGATATTTAAAAAATAAAGATAAATATCAGATTTATTTTTGTACGTTGAATACTCTGTGAATATTCTCCCAATTCTAAGGACAAATTTGTATTTAGAAAATTGTTATGAAAATTATTTTTCGAGAGAATATGAACTATAAAAAAGATAATTAAATAGTAGCGCGTGCTATTATCTTATTATTATTATATATATATTACTTAATATGATATTTAAAAAATAAAGATAAATATCAGATTGATTTTTTTACGTTGAATACTCTGTGAATATTCTCCCAATTCTAAGGACAAATTTGTATTTAGAAAATTGTTATGAAAATTATATTTCGGGAGAATATGAATTATAAAAAAGAGGATTAAATAGTAGTGCGTGCTATTATGATTTGCCAGACGTTATTTTATAGTAGAGTTTAATGCTGAAGAAGGCGAGTAAAGTGGCTCTGGTTATGAGAAGCCGATGGTATGTGGCTCATAGAGCGTATTATTTTTTTTATTCCCCTCTTTATATCTAAACGTTTTTTTCCTCCTGGGGGCACACCTCGTCGAACCTTTTAAATTATAGAGGAAGGAGAAATAAGAGGTAAAGGGAAAGGAATATATGAAGGCCAGTGGAGAATCGAAGCCACCCTTCCAGTCCGTCGGTTCTTCGAGCCTTGAGATTTCCCGGCCTTTATTTTTTTGCCGCCTTTACCCTCGTCTTGGGATTTTTACTCGATATGCCATAGCCCTAATCACGCTTCAACAATTTTTTCACTCGAGTATATACTCTCCACAACCTTTCTCTTCCCAATGCCTGCAGAATCAGTTCTAACCGTTATTTTTTTTCAATCGCCCCCATCATTTCATCATCACATCAGTCTGTGATATTATCGTCTCGTCAAGGCTAACTTTATTTATTATAACCAATATTTTTTATTGTTCAAGCTCAATTACGTTAAGAGTAGAACAAAAAATGTTTTATTATTGAATTCGAATGACTCGCTCTACGGAGAAGTTCATTATAATGTCATTATTCTGGGAATGAAGGAAAAATCTCCGGTTGTGGTGCAATTATCGATTAAATGCCACTGATTATAACATTTAACCAATTATTATTTCCGATTATTCGAGCACTATTGGATTCAAATCCAATGGAATGGAGGGGCTTCATACCGCCTATTTACCCTAGGTGTTTATTGATTTAATTCAACGATGCAAGTAATGTGGGAGTGAATCATTCCAGTTATTTTCACCACTCGCTCGTCTGGGAAGTCAATCATTTTTTTAGGACCCCAGAAAATCCATATTTCATCTTCACATCGCGATATCAATATGGGAATTATTATTATCATCTCCTTACACTCTCGATTCCGATGAATCTATTATTTCAAGTTATAGAAATAAAAGTAATCATCGCGAATGTCATGATGTTAATAAAAATCGTCCACCTCAGGATGGAGTTTAATGTTTCAAAAAATTTATGATTCAAACTTTTTTTCGCGTCGCGACAGTTGGTTCTTGGAGTAATATTGCATGAAGGAAAAAAGTTTCTTCGAAGGAGAGAGCGAATTATATGTCTGATCCAACCCTGTCCTTTTCCACTGGTTTGGCTGCCGCTTAATTTTTTTTTCCCCTTTTTCCATTCGACATTATTCAAGTCACCCCCTTGACTCACCCTCACGCCCCCTCTTCACTTTATTCGCCTCAATTCCCCTCTCGTACAGAAGTACGTGAAATTGGAGGAATAGAAGGGAAAAAGATACTTTGCATACACTCCCACTCCTTGGGTCCTTCTCAGTGATCCCTTTGTCATTTCGTATTGTGGTGAGATAAATCTACAGAGATGCCCCATCGTTGGAATACACACCAATTTTGAATACATCTCTTCAGCTTCTTAAGAATAGTCTCCTCGTTCTGCTGCTCAGAGGCAAAATTTTTTTACGACCAGAATATGGATCTTCACTCGAAAACAATGCGCTTCGCATTATATTTTCTCATTCTCCTTCTTTTACAGACTCTGATGGCTTTTTTTATTGTGTACGTGGGAAATTTAATGGTTAATGAAAAAATTGATTTTAGAAAAAAAGTCACTGCTCTCCCGAGAAAATCATAGATCAGCCCCTGGGGCTGGAGTGGAAAAAAAAATTTTATTTTCCTTCTTTTCATGGATTTAAAGGTTTTATTGTCGTCTAGGGATCGAATGTAGCTGACATCGATTATTGGTTGATGAAAAAATTTAGTTTAAAAAAATGTTATTTGCTGGAGTAAAAAATTTATCTGTTTTGTCTCTTATTGGTCTCTGCTACCACTTGACCCCTACATTTAATGACTCAATCGTTCGATTGCTTCCCGACTAATTGGAAACGAGGGATTGATCGCAATGGGAGTCCACGTGGCTCCTCGAGTAAAGAAATATCTGTTCAGAAAGTTTCCACTGTTTTGAGATGTGATAAAAACGAACAGAAATAGATGCAACCGAACGTGACTCTATTCTGTTGGAAAATCTGAATTGCAAACTGCAATGAATCACGTGGACCCTGACTATTTCCAATGAAACATTTCATGCAAATGAGGGCTGCAGTTAATTTACATATATCTTCGATATTTTCTTATCGTGGGGACTCTTCAGAGTCCAGAGCGAATCTACATCGTCCACGGGGACAGATAGTTCCGAGGGAAAACGAGAGTGTCAAAATATCAAGTGGTACTTTTTTTGGAACAGCTGCTCCTGCAAATTATTGGGAAAAATTTGCATTTAAGTGTGAAAATATTCAAGGCAGAATTCTCAAACTGAAGGACTTGGATAAATTCCGGGGAAATTGCTGATACTGATTTTTTTTGGGAGAACATTATGTCGACTTGAGACTTTATTCTACGGATAATGATAAATAATTAATTTTGGATATTGTTGATCCAATCAATTCTCATTTCTCCGAATTACAGGAGACACGCGATAATGACAAAAATGTCATTACGAAAAAGTCGTTAGGAATTTGCCCAATTTCCCCTGAGGCTCCAGAAAATTCTCGTATATCTGTATCAACGGATAACTGAAATCACGGACAAATAATTTCCGACGACAGGGGATTTATCTCACGCGATTCCAACCACAAGAATAATGTTTGCATCAAATAAAACAATAAAGGAAAAGAAACGAGGGGGATGTTCAGTGATTGCGTCCGGTGCGGTAATTTCCGTTTTCACGTTAACGTGATTCATAGACCTGGAGATGATGAGAGTAAAAAAATCTCGAGAAAGACGAAGTGGAAGTTTTCTCTTTTAATCTCTGAAATTATCACAACAGTCTGTCTCCATCGGGAGTAATTAATTAATAATCCTTCGGGAGAAAGGCGCACATAAAATTCGCTTTATCGTCTCGTGTCTTCCCCTTCAGCAATTTATATTGTTTTGCCATTAACTTAGATTAAAAACCCATAAAGTAATCTTCACGGGGTAAAATTGTAGGTTTATGTGTGGTAACTATCCTCTCGTTTAATTTATCCTAGTTTTGTTGGAATTGAGGGAGTGGAGTGCAATTGAGTCATAACGTGCAAGTAATAATATTTGAGTTTAGTGAGTTTTACTCGGTTGCCTTACCACCTAGATATTGGAAGTGCAATGTCAACGGATTATATGTAAAGTAAATATTGTTCTACTTCTGGTGGCAATAAGGACATTTACCTTCAAATTTTTATCACCCCGCACTTCCAAGAAACGAATTTCCCATTAATACACGTAATCTTTTCTCCTTTAACAATTCATTTTTAATTCAATCGATAATTACATCAATTTTGCCAACCAGGAGGAAAGATTGTTGTGGATTTTACTCTAATGGTTTGTAATCCTGTAGTATAATGGCTACAGTAAAAATTGCTGCAGTAAAAATTACCATTTTTAATGGAGTCGTCCTGTTTTTTACTGCATCATCAGAAATAATATACCAATTTAGGGTAAATTGCAGTATTAATTGGTCTTCGTGAAAAACGCAATTATTGTATTACGCTTAATATTTACGCCTCAATTTTCACGATCTCTGAAATTAATGAACAATTAATTTCAATTTTTACTGATATCTCATTTTTACGGGGAATTCAGACAGAAATTGGCGAACGCTGTGGAAAAATTTCGGGAGAAATTACAGTAAAATCCCATTATAGTCGCACTTTTCCTCAATTTCATTTTTCTCGCATGTTTCGGTTTTTCCATTCTACTACCTCCCGACTCCAGGACGTAAACAATCCATTGTTTCGTCCGGTGAGGAATTTAATTCCGGGGAAAATAAAGCCGAAGA